ATTAAAAAAAAATGAGAATAACTTACTTCTATGAGCCTATTATTAGAAAAGTTTTAAGTCAAATTGAACCATTGTTCTGTTTCCAAAGAGAATTTCTATTACTAAGGAATTTCAGTTTTCCAAGTTTCTGGTTGATAATTCAAAGTGATGAATAAATATACCTATTCTTAATAAAAGAATATTATATATAAATTTATAAAATTTCTCTTTTCAAATATTTCATCAAGCATCTCAGATTAATAAGACACAATAAAATGAATCAGTGGATATCAAAAAAAAAAATAAATTTAAAAACATAAAGAATAAATTGCAAATAATATATTTGAGGATAGTATACAGTTAAAATAGATGTCAACATCTTCAAACAAACAAGAACATAAAATTTAGAAAGATATTGTAAAAATAGTTTCTCTCTGAAGATTTAATCTTTTATTTTGTTATTATTAAACTAATATAAATCATATAAATTGATTTTAGTTAATTTGGTGAATATATTGCCAAATTTATAAAAATTCAAATGAATACTGATTTAGAGTTTTCGATATTAATCTAAAGTATTGCTAACACTCAATAAAAATTCCTTCAAAACAAATTTCACATATATTCTGTTGGAGTAATATTTAATATCCAGAATTACACACACTAAGATTAACTAAAGATACAATTTAAACAATTTAGAGGACATGAAAACTAGCATTGATGAAATCCATCAAAGGAGGGTCATTTCTATTATCACATTGCTCACTTGCTGTAATATATTTATTTCCACATTACACAATCTTCTTAACATGATGCTTGTTTAGCAAAACAACCATCAAAAGGTACTAAATTATCATCATTTTATTGGACCACGAAGAATTATTAATAATTCACAGATACCTACTGCGCCATCTACACAATATATTTCTAATATGATTGCATTTTTTGTATCATCTAATTACCATGTTCTATAATCAACATTCTTTTATTACTGATAAGTCCATATTTATATTCATCATATATATAAATACTTACAGTTATTGGTAAAACTGAGAAATAATTAATGATTAATGATCTGGTAATATAAGATAAGTTATTGCAGAATTATATTAAATTAATATAAGCATATTCAATTATCCTATAATATCTATAATTTTACCTTCATTTATTGAGTATGTAAAAATGCAAATTTATATTTTTAATCCAACCTTCTCAACCATTATCAAGATTTTATAATTAAACAAATTATTGCCACAATTTCCACATGATACAATCAACTGTTGAATCTAAAAAAAATTTACATCCTTAATAACATTCATTTAATGTAATCTTAAAATTAGTGAGACGCCAAAAATTTCTTAATATGTTAACAATTTATAATACATTGTTATTACAATCTGAGTATAATTCAAAAATAATTGAATTTAATGTAAATAATGGAAAATCATTAAATGATTTAGTACTATAATCTGTACCTGAATCACCACATTAATTTGATCCTATATTAGAAGTAAAATAACAAGACTGAGTTCATTAATAATTAATTATTTAAAAAAGTTGTGTATTTGGCCAATCATCAAATCTTAAGATATATTAATATTAAACTTCCATAAAGTTATATTAATGCGCATCCTATAATGAAGTGGCAACATAAAATATTTCATCATCGATGTTTTAGTTGATGTGCAACATCCCAATATCTAATATCCTCCAAATATAGTGTTTACTTCACAAATATATGTACGACTAGATGCTCCATTATAGGGATTTTTGATTAACTAACCTAAATTAATGAATAGATATTTAACTTGTCATCAGTGTTTGATGAATTAAAAAAATGTTAAAGATAGTATGCTTCTACAATTATTGTTAAAAATAAAAAAAGGAGGAGCTGAATAAACATTAAATAAATATTAATGAAAAATAAAAGCTAATGATAATCAAATAATATTGGTGGAATATCCTTATTATAATCAAATAACCTTTTGTATAACTATTGGTTTATTTAAGTTGATAGTAATAGTTGAATTTCTAATGTTGCATGAGAATTTTAAATTATCAATTATTTAAGTAATTAATATAATTAAAAAAGATATAAATATTAAAAACTTTAGTGTATAAATTAAATTTTGATAGGCTTTAGTTATTAGATATTCACACAGCTATAGATAAAGATTATTTGAAATGATAGATTGGTGTCGCTAGACATTGTATTATAAAGTGATTGAAATTAATTTAAAAGATTATCAGTTACCATGATTTCAAATATGAAAAAAAAGATTATTTCGATTAAGTATTTAGAATTAGAATGGTAAAGAGGGATAGCCTTAAAATTGAGTAAAGTGGAATTTGTTTTAGAATATATAAAAATTTAAGATAATCAACAGATTATGAAAAAGAAAAGGAGTTTAAGCATTAAATGGATCATAAAGAAAGATGACATATGAAATCTATCTAATAATAATATGATATGGAAAAATTTCTATTAAAGTATTAGGACATTACAATAAAAAAAAGAATTATGATAACTAAGCTCATTTATAAACAATCATAATCAAAATTTAAAGTCTCTCCTCAACATAACTTCAGCTAATTAACAGAATTATAAATCTAAAATTTATAAAATGATATATTTTAATTCAAATTAAATTATATTTAAATTACTGTATGATCACTCTCAATTATTCATAATTAACAATGAATACCCTACACAATAAAATCCTTAACCTGATGATCCAAATTGTTTTATTATGAATTATAATAGATTCTACTTACTAATACAATGTGTTTGTATTAGGTGTTATAATTAAATTCAGTAATTCATCAAGTCCGTCATAAATGAAAATTAATAATTAGTAAAACCCCCTATACACTGATATTTAGATTCTTATCCATTAAACATAGAATATTAACTATCTTTTTTTATTTTGTTATTGAATTTCATACTTTTTATTTTAGAATCTATACAACTCAAGGATCCATTAAGATCACATAAAAAACATGGCTATATTCATTATGAACAAGTATTAGGTGTATCAGAATAAATGGTGTCCTTAAAAAAACATTAAAAGGCTTTATTAATTTCGTGATTNAAAATCATAAGATCAATAATGAATAAATTTAAACCAAAAACTTATAATATAGAATTTTAAATTGAATAACCAAATAAACAAGATATTTGAAATGATAACATAAATTCTTGCAAAACTCACCCTTAAACTTAGGATTAGGATTAATATAATTAAAAAAAGATAAATTTTGAAAACTTTAGATGATCTGTATAAATTAAATTTTGATAGGCTTTAGTTATTAGATATTCACACAGCTATAGATAAAGATTATTTGAAATGATAGATTGGTGTCGCTAGACATTGTATTATAAAGTGATTGAAATTAATTTAAAAGATTATCAGTTACCATGATTTCAAATATGAAAAAAAAGATTATTTCGATTAAGTATTTAGAATTAGAATGGTAAAGAGGGATAGCCTTAAAATTGAGTAAAGTGGAATTTGTTTTAGAATATATAAAAATTTAAGATAATCAACAGATTATGAAAAAGAAAAGGAGTTTAAGCATTAAATGGATCATAAAGAAAGATGACATATGAAATCTATCTAATAATAATATGATATGGAAAAATTTCTATTAAAGTATTAGGACATTACAATAAAAAAAAGAATTATGATAACTAAGCTCATTTATAAACAATCATAATCAAAATTTAAAGTCTCTCCTCAACATAACTTCAGCTAATTAACAGAATTATAAATCTAAAATTTATAAAATGATATATTTTAATTCAAATTAAATTATATTTAAATTACTGTATGATCACTCTCAATTATTCATAATTAACAATGAATACCCTACACAATAAAATCCTTAACCTGATGATCCAAATTGTTTTATTATGAATTATAATAGATTCTACTTACTAATACAATGTGTTTGTATTAGGTGTTATAATTAAATTCAGTAATTCATCAAGTCCGTCATAAATGAAAATTAATAATTAGTAAAACCCCCTATACACTGATATTTAGATTCTTATCCATTAAACATAGAATATTAACTATCTTTTTTTATTTTGTTATTGAATTTCATACTTTTTATTTTAGAATCTATACAACTCAAGGATCCATTAAGATCACATAAAAAACATGGCTATATTCATTATGAACAAGTATTAGGTGTATCAGAATAAATGGTGTCCTTAAAAAAACATTAAAAGGCTTTATTAATTTCGTGATTGGAATCTGTGCAACTATCACAGTGAGTATCATTACCTGAACAAATTGAACAAGGTTCTTAAAGTATTTCAAAATTATTTATTTCAAATAATTAAAAATAAATCTCTAATTTCTGAAATTAAGAATATAGAATTAAATATATTATGATATAATGAGCGTATCAAAGTATACAATTATAATTATCCTTCAAATATCCAGAAGGGCATAAAAATTCTTCATTATATATTTAATTTAATAAATCTTTACATTCAGCACAATGACTTGCATTTCCTTAACATTATAAACAAGGACTAAAACATGCTATTAAATTTACTGTAATCATTATTTAGCTAGGATTTCACGAATATTAGTTTGATGCGAGAACACTTTAATTAATATCAATGCATGATAAAAATTATTTGCTGTACCTGAACATTGTCAGTATAGTAATTTTTAAGATTAAAGTGACAATAAATGATTAGTAATTAATTGGGTAATTAGATTTAATTTATATGAATATTTAGTTACATATACTTCATAAGTGTTATTAAGACATAGACATTAATTTGGAATAGAAGTCTCACCATAAACTTTATTGCACAATTAGTACAATGATTACAATTATCTTAACATTAGATGAATGCGAATGCAAGGTTGACAAGATAATAATAAATGATCCACAAAATATCCATCATTACATATACATTTATCCTTTGAAACTATTTAATTTGAAAAGCATAGTACATGAAATGCATTTTGTAGCATGATCAACAAAATCATAACATTTCAATTTTGACCAGAGATATAATAATTTTATTAACATCAATTGCATTATAATTCTGAAATAAAATTTATGCGAGGAGACGACGATCCTGATTGATGAATTAGATCCTTTCATCGTGTACATACAAATTCTGAAAGGCAATTTATGCGTGGTAATTTACAAGGTAGACATGTATAATTTTCATAATAAATATCTTCAAAAATACATTAAGCATTCTATTTAATCCATCAACAAAAAAGATGTATAATTAGTAGCTGATGTAGAACAAGTCTGATATGGACTAGTACAACTTTAACATGTTTTAGGGTTATACGTTATTATTAATTTTAGTTTCCTTTATTAATACCTAATGAAAACTAGATATACTGTCCCATTTAATTCAAATTCATTATTTAAACAGAAACATTTATTTTCAGTAGAATTATAGTAGTTTAACATGAAAAAAATGGGAATTGGAGTAAATCACAAATATCACTTACTGTATTCATTGCATAACCTTCTGTACATTCACATTGAGAAGGTGTTTAGCATAAAGGATCAATGCAAGTACAATCATTTTTAATATGTTTAGACATATAATGATTTAAAAATAGTTTTATTTTTACAATATTTTCTAATTTTCAATCTACATATAATTAAAAAACTATAATACAATAACTATTTCTTAAGCAATCTACACAGGGTCTTAAACATGAGCTACAGAGACCACCATTACTCCAATAATTATTTTAGCATTTAGTACATATGGATGTTCGACTACAGATTTTAAAATTTTTTGGACAATTTTAAAAATAATTAATTTGTTCAAGTGTTCATGATATATCTTCTTCTTTTCATGAACAACTAGGAGCTACTTAGTTTGTTGTATCTACACAAGTGGAACAGGCTTAACCATTTTTTAAACAAATTTCACATGGTTTAGGACATTAAATAAATATATTTTAATCATTTGTATTATATCCCGTTTAGCAAACTTAAATACTATCATTCAAAGTAAATCCCATTTGGAAAGTCTTGCAAGTTCCATTTCCACCATTACAAATTTGACATAGACTTAGGCATGGGGGATTTTTTTAAATTCCTATAAGCAAGAAACAATATGTAGATTTAGTTATCATTCTAACTTGTTTTTGGGTAAAGTTAGGTTTATTATTCACTAAATGTCATAAAGTATCATTTCGCAAAATCAAAGAAATAATTATAAATATGTTCTCTATTATATTTGATAAATAGAATATACGAACATATTTTGTTCAAAAATCCCTTTTAGAACTTTAGATTGATTTGGTTGCACTAATGGCTGTCATAAGAAGTTTTATCATAAGTTAATATTTGATAATTAGAAAAGTGAAAAGTGAAAACAAAAAATTTGAAAATCACTTTTGATTTCACTTTATTTTTATTGTAAAATGAGGCATTTAGATCATATTTAAAAGTTTGAGAATGAAGAAGAAATAAAACCGAGAAATTAATTAATCCCCATTTTACATATTAAAAATTATTCATAAATAGCTTTTAAAAATTTAATTTAAATTTTAATAAATTTTTTTATGGTTCGGGGTTTCTTTATCTAAATATATTATAAAAGTCACTTTTTGCTTTTTAGCAATTTATTTACAATTGAATTCCTAAACTGTTCTTTTCCAACTATCCCTTAATATTTCAAAAATCTTTAGTAATATTCTCTATTGATAAGCATTTTGTAAATATGATTCATAGATATTATTAAAAAATGGAAAATATTTTCTCTAATTCTTGCATAAATTGTTCTAGAAAAAATTAACCTGTTTAGAGAAATGATTAAATATTCGAAGGGATATTAGAATAGAATTTTGTACATTGGGATACTTTTGTAAAATAGATTTATGACGACTAAATTCTTTGTCACATAACCTAAGAATAACGAAATACATTATTATATATCTGATAGTGGATAAATAATAAGGATGTAATAGTTTATATATATATATAACATGAAAATTAGTGAGCAGATCAGAGATTAATAACTCTAATAATTTGAAATACTTAAAAATATAGAACACATAAAATACTTGAAAGGGATAGGTTAATATGGAAATAATTAATAAAAAATTGGAATGTGGAAAACTTTTTGGTCAGGTGAAGCTTTAGTTGGTATAGGAGGAGCATATGGAAGAAAAAAATAAAAACAAATATAAAAATACTATATTCAGAAGATGGAAAAAAGCAAGGATAATGGCATTAACTATTCTCAAATTTCTCCAAGTGAACATAATTTTGATTTAAATAGATAATTTTAAGTGTTAGAAAGTGGAGAATATTTAAATGATTAGAAAATAAAATTATGGAAATACACTCTTGAAAACGAAGAAATGTTTATTATTTTAGTATATATTAGTGGTGGCGGATTATATGAAAATTAGTTAAAGCAAGGATAATGGATTGAATTGTTCAATAACTTTTCATTGTATAGATGAAAACAATATTATTTAATAGTCACAGTTAAATCACTTTAAATGGTGAATATAATAATGGTAAAAAAGTGGGCAAATGGGGTATCTATCATAGAAAAGGAATTCATTAACAATTTTAGTTTATGTATAATACTATTTGAATACAAATCTTTATATTTTAGTGGTGGTGGATCATATGATAATTAAGAAGGAAGAGATTCATTTAAAATAGGAAAATGGTTAGAGCTCAGTGATGGATTTCATAGGTAATGTTTTTGCTTATCCTAATTTTTTTAGTGATAATCAAGTTATGTACGAAGGAGAATATAAAAATGGTATTAAAGTTGGGAAATGGGAAATTTAGATGATCCATAATAAAAAAAAAATTTATTTAAATGTAAGTATATTTCCTTTAAATTAATCTTTCTGATTAAGTGGTGATGGACAATACGATGATAAGCAATAAGCTGAAAATCATCTTGGTATTAAATAGGGTAAATGGTATGAGCTGAATGATTTGCTTCAAAAGTACATTAAATTATTAACAATTTTTATTATTAGTTCGATTCAAATCATTTATTATGGTGAATATAAGAATGGCATAAAAGTTGGTAGATGGGAAACTTATTGGGAGGAAAAAAATAAAAGATCCTTAATATTTATGTAAAATTAATGGAGGGAATAAATTAGTAAATCTTACAAATTGATGTAAATTTATGATTTATAACAACAGTGGTGGCGGGTTATACGATGAAAAACTAGATGGTTAATTTGTTGGCGGAATTAAATAAGGTAGATGAGTTGAATTGAGTGAGGGATTTAGGGGGTATTTTAAATTATTAATAATTTTAATCAGTTCAAGTTAAATCACTTGGAAGGGTGATTATCAGAATAATAATAAAGTTGGTAGATGGAATATAAGGTTTCAATGGCAAAACCATTTTTCTCTTTTAGCGGTGGGGGATTATATGATGAAGGCAATGTTGGGTTGACAATCAAAGTTGGAAAATGGATTGAAATAAGTGAGAAGTTTGATAAGTAAATAAATTAAATTGACAAATTTTTAGAAGCAATTTTATCGTTTATAAAGGAGCATATAAAAATGGTAAAAAAGTTGGTAGATGGCATGTATATATTAGAAATTCTCTATTCCAGAAAGGCTATAATAAAATGTAAACTTAAAATAATGCTATATATAAATTCTTTTAGTGGTGGCGGATGCTATGATGAACAAGGTCATGGCATTAAGATTGGAGAATGGATTGATTTGGATGATGGATTTCATTCTAGGAATTAAGTGACTTATCATGGAGAATATCATAATGGTAAAAAAGTAGGAAGATGGAATGCTTATTGGAATTTTGATTAATAAATGTATAATTAAATATTATATAAACTTTTTAGAGGTGGCGGATAGTATGATGAATTAGATGAGGGCATTAAGATTGGGAAATGGATTGAATTGGAGGAAGGTGATTCTCTATAATAATTAATAATATTTTATGGAGAGTATAAACATGGTAAAAAAGTAGGCAGGTGGGATTTTATGAAAAGATAATATCATGAATCATTTAAATAGATGTAAATAATTTAATATTCTGATTAATAAACTTTTTAGTGGCGGTGGATTCTATGATTAAAACGGCATTAAGTTTGGAATGTGGATTGATTTAGGTGAATAAACTTATGATAAAGTTTTAAGTGGTAATTATTAAAATGGGAAAAAAGTTGGCATCTGGACTGTGTTTCATGATTATAAAGAAGTTAATAAAATTGAATATCAAAATTGAATAGCATTTATATTAATAATTTTGAATTATGAATTAAATAATGGTAAATTTTTATTCTTTAACTGTTGTTCTTATTATTTTATTTTATTTTATTTTATTTTAATTTACATTTATTATTTTAATTATTTTATTGTATATTTGATCTAGTTCGTTTTAATTATCAAATTATTTCTATTTTTTGGTATAATTATATAGATTGTAATATTATCATTTCTATAATAATTTTTTCTTTGTACCGATTTTTTATTTATTTTGAACTTGTTAAATTATTTATTTTAATTAATTCTATGATTAGTTTCAGTGGATCAAAACCGTAGTAAAGTAAATTTTTGTTTTACCCAAAAAATTAATATGTTTTTTTTTTTTAAAATAGTTACTAAATTATTAAGAAATTTATCTAATTACAACAATTACTTTATATTTTATTTAATAAAAATATGAAAATTATAATAAATTTATAAATAAATATAGAAGTAAATCATTTCCTTTCTTTTATGAAATAACGTGAAAAAATTTTTCCTTATTTTTACATGTATTAGTGGAATATCGTATTGTAATAATAATTAAAACAAATGAGTTTTGCTTAATATTTATCATTCAATAATTAATTTTACTTAGCGATAGATTAATTAAATTACTTCTTTCATCTAAAAAAAGGAGTTAATTTATTAAATTGCTATATATATTAATAATATAATTTATTTATATTAAATTATCAAAAATAAATAACATTAAGCAATTTTATTTTGAAGGTATTGATATATTAAATCATTATATAATTATTTCTTATCATTTAATATTAAAGTGTTTATAGAATTAATATTATAAATTTATAGATGCAATTTAATGATTTGTGTATTGGTTAGTAAATTGATCCTTTTGAAAAATAATAAAATTTTTTTTTAATAGAGTAGTCTTAAAAACATCAAGTTTATTTATTACATAGTCACAAATTTTTAAAAATAATATAAAGCATTTTGTTTTATTTAATCATTTGTTGTAAACAAAAAATCTAATCATACATTATATTTTTTTAGTTGGTAATTCCTTAATTTAAAAC